GATCTAACAGACGGGTTATTTCTCCATGGGAAGTCCTGCTCTGTTATCTGTTAAAACAAAGTCCCCTGCCCCAGCCTCTCAGCCAACTTCTTTGTGTTTTCATATGTATGCAGTTAGGAGGAAGAATCCACAAAGATCTGAGGAAACGTCCAGAATATTTTACACAAAGATGAACGTTTTAAAATTTTATTAAAATGAAATAATTAATATACAGCAAAAGGTTTAATTAAAAAGTGACAAATTAAATACGATTTTCTACAATTTTACATGTAATTTCTTATTTAATTACAGGTTGATTTGATCAAATAAATTCATTTAATTGATGTATGACGTGTTTTCTCTTTGTTCTCAGTCAAAGCGACGGACTTTGGGCTCCTAGGAGTCCACAATAACGCCATGCGCACCAATTTCAGCACGCGGCAGCTGACGGAGCTGGAGAAGGAGTTCCACTTCAGCAAGTACCTCACGCGCGCGCGGCGCGTGGAGATCGCGGCAACGCTCGAACTGAACGAGACCCAGGTAAAGATCTGGTTCCAGAACAGACGGATGAAGCAGAAGAAACGGGAGCGGGAGAGCACGGGCACGAGTGCGCGCTCCCACTCATCTGACACCCGGTGTGGGTTTACCAAGGAGCTGGAGGACACGGACCACTCTTCACTGTCCACATCACCGGGAGCGTCTCCGAGCTCTGAGTCATAGTCTGCACGTGGCTGATGACCAAGACTTTTTATCACTGTGATCCAGAAAAAAACAAAAACGTTTCTGTTTCCGTTTTTAAAGATTCTACAACAAATCCAGAGCAATAATAGCAGCCATTTAAGCCCTCAAAGAGTTTGTATTTTGTTATTTTATTACATGAAGGAGAAACTGTTATATGATTTTTTATTTTAAATCTTTTTGTTATGTTAGTGTCAAAAAATGAAGTCTCAACATGCTCATCCTACACTAGGCCTAATGGTAGGCCTGCAGATCTCAGATGCAAAAATGAATTTTGGAATAATGATAATCTAAAGCAAACTTGGTCAATTATCACAACGTCTTTAAAGTCAAAGTTTACTTTCACTTTATGCAACATATACAAATATATAAGTTAAAGCTCACTATATAGACTATAGAGCAAGTTTCAAAGCCTTAAATTAAAATACCAACCTCTAGATGTGGCAATAAAATGATGGAATAATGAGGAGAATTGTAAGGGTTAACAGGGAATGGGGCTATTTAAGAGGATAGAAGTTATTTTTAAAACATAGTTTTTCAATGACTGTAATACTGTCTAATTTGTTGAATAAAAGAAAACATTTCTGGACTTTAAATAATAGCTTTTTTATTTCCATTAGTCAATAAAGCCAATGGTCTACAATTATTTTTATGTTGTTTCATCTTAGCTGGCAGATCTAGAAACTAAGAAAGAGATAAAGGAGCTCACTGTGATTAAATTTCAGATATAGTTCATTATAGCTGAAATTCACCCCCCTTTATTTCAGTATTATTCCACAATTAATAAAGTTCTTTAGGATACATACCAAAAAAGTTTTTCAGACTGTTTAGGCAGCTGTGGGCTGTATACCATCAGAAACTGAAGTTGAAATGATCCAACTGAATCTGTATTTATGTAATTTCAAATTAAAAGCATTAATTTGACAGTGAATTTCACGAAATTGAAACCAACATAATTTTCAATTACTTATATAAATCTGTTGCTTTGAAAATTGCGTTTTCCTATGTTGGCATTATGTTTTATAGTTAAGTTTCCTCCTGAAATTGAACAACAAACCACAAGGATGGATGCAACTAATGAAGTTAAATAATAAGTAAACAATTTAATGAGATGCAGCATTAAAATCCAACTTTAGAAGAAAAACTAAACCTAGATTAAAATCTGGACAAGTTAGGGAATTAGGAAATTGGGTCTTTTAGCAGAGAGTAACATCTTTGCTCCTGGTTTTGGTTAAGCCTGCTGTCTGTGGCTTCCGGGCTGAAGCCCAGGATTATTAATAAATAAGCTACTATCTTACAAAAGAGAAAACATTTAGAAGTACAAGTAAGTTTAGAAAATCTTGTTCTATATCCATCTTGAAAACAAACATTGCTTTTCTATTTTATTCCATATTATGACTGCCTGCTTTACCAACAACCTGATAATGAGTCAAATGAAACAAAAGACAAAGCAACTTCCCAACTACGCTCACAGGCTGAGGCTGACTGGCATTTTGCCTGAAACGGAGGAGTCTTAATTTGCACTTCTTTCCAGGACTGTGAACAGTTAGCCTGACTATTACAAAACAAAATGATTCAATAAATCAATAGACGGAGAGCTTAACCCCCTCAATGGCAGGCCCAAATCTAAGCCCTTATTTTAGGCTAACTAACAGCTGCAGCTATGAGGCAGATGGCCGCTCACACTGAGCCTGGTTCTGCTGGAGGTTTCTTCCTGTTAAAAGGGAGTTTTTCCTCTCAACTGTCGCTACAAGCATGCTTAGTTTGAGGGATTGCCGAAGAGTCAATTAGTCGATGCAATCAGCTGGTTTTCCTTAGATAGAAAACTTTTAATCTTACTGGATGATCTGGTGAACTGGAAAGTGCCTTAAGATGAAGTGTTGTGAATTGGCGCTATAGAAATAAACTGAATTGAATTGAATTAGCTAAAGATGCTAAATTAGCATAGTGTGCCACCGGTGTTATGCCCTTCAGCATTTCCCCTTTGATAAGTTTGACATGGTAAGTGACCCACCGAGCTCATGAACGCTTCAGCGTTTCAGCTATGAATTATAAATTTAGCATAATGGGAACATTTCAATCCACGAATCTGTGTTTGATTATTCCGGTTGACAACTCCGGTTGTCCAAAACGAGAAAACATGATTTTGTGAAGTGAAATTGAATTCTAAAACTGAATCTGTTTAAAAAAAAATGCAAATTGGATTTTCAATACAGAACAAAACATTTTGAAAGCAATTGAGGTCATTTTTAAGCCATTATTTTCTCCGTTTATTGAAACTCAATGTCAAACTAAAGGATTTAATTTCAAATTACGTTGGAGACAAATTCAGCCTGAGCAATTCAAATTCAGTTTCTGATGGCATATAACTGTGCACTCCAATAAGAACAGTCTAGTAGATAAACTCATATCTTGGTCAGATTTCCATACTTTCCTTTTCTAAAATAACACCAGACTATGGCTTCAGTCCTATCATTGAATGTAAGTTTTGGACATTCTACTTATTAAAATGTTTTCTCTATTGTTGGGTTGATGTGTTAAAAAAACAATGTGAAGGATATTTGTGTTGTTATACTTTTCCTTCCCACTTTACCAAAATTTTTGTGAGTTTTAGTTGGATGTTCAAAGATGTGTTTCCTTTATCAAGTTGTTTTCGCTCTGATGAGAATTTACTAAACCTGACAAGACGAGAATGACTGAACACTTGAAATTTGTTCATTACGTCTGTGAGCTATTTTTCCCACCTGTTTAATATTGTTCTCCTTAGTTGGCAAAAAATGAATATTTAAAAATATTTTTTAAGATTTTTTTTCTAAATGAGGGCAGTTTGACTGAGTTTTATTAGTATTGCTGCTTTAAAGAGACTTTCAATCATGTCCAGTTTCTATCTGATGAAAACTACCTCAAATAAATCTCTTTTCAGTCCATCAAGTACAAATTTGTGTCTTTTGTCATTGAATAACTGAAGAATGACAATGAGAAGAGTTTCCAAAAATGGCGTCTGTCT